TGTTTTATTCACATACGCTGAGGTGCATGAGATTGAAACCCAGATTTGGTGATAATATAGCGGAATGAGAGATTTAAAGCAAGTTTTAAGAAGCCGGTTATTTTTGACTGGAAACACCAAATTAGGTAAAGGATTTTCAGCACAGCATGGGTTAATTTGTTAACTTGTACATTCTTTTATGATCAGATGACACTATAAAATATGAATGGATAATATGATAATGCTATAAAAAAGGTTATTTGCTCTGTGGCTCAGTGCCGAGTTCAGGCAGTGTAATATGCAACCTCCCGCTATGTATGCTTGATTGTTTGTGCCAGCGCCTCGGCCTATTCTAAATGCAAGTGGAAAGTGAGTTGTTGGATGATTTCACTCAAAAGAATTCAAAGTTTGGGAGCAACTTCAAACAGTTTTCTTTTAATCATATTTTGGATTGTTAAAGGAATATGTCGTCAATTCTTCTCTTGATGATCTACTGAACTCCACAGTCATTTTTCTCTCTAATAGTGTACGAGTAGACTGTGAGGAATCATTTGTATAGTATTACGTCATGATCTTTAAATGATGATGTAATGTTCAGGTCAAGTAGGGCTCCAAGATAATAATTTCTAGAGGCCTTTATATGCATCCAATTGCCACATTCCTACCATAGCATATCTATCTCATTCTAACTAGACAACATCGTATGCTCTCCCAACTCGAAAGAAGAGTGACGATAGAGACTGGAATGAAGCCTCCTCGATGGAGAATAAGTCCCATCATGACAATAAAATCTACATTTTCAATCAAGCTGAAATTAAACAAATAATATTATATATATAGTGATTTTACCATGGGTCAGGGTTCTTTGTGGCCTAAAGGTGTGGCCACAGTTACCACTGTTTGGCAAATTTTCATGGGTGAAATTCAATAATTTCAGCAGAAAAAAAAGCAATTTTGCATGATTTCCAAGCACAGACTTTGCAAAGGGTTTAAGTTGATCACACAGCTTCACTACACTGACCAACAAAAACATTGGTCACTACATTACTGACAATTCACAATGGACCATTTTTTGCCAGTAAAACTTTGCCAAAATGTCACTAATGTGACTGCACCTTTTGGTCATACTACTCATATTGTATACTGCTTTTCACTTACTATATAAAGTCTGTGTATTTGGAATCCAGTTTTCTAATCACTGGGTAGTGTGATTGACCAATCAGAATTGAGTTTTTCACAAATTAATGATATAATATTTGCCGTGTTAATAAAAATGTGCGATCATAGGTGTGTTTTTAGTCACTTTATTACTCAACATGGCTCATCTAATCATAAATTATTTTATTAATGTGCGTGTATAAACACAAGCCAGCTTCACTCTAATACCTAATTTCTCACTTTTCTATTACTCCAAAACAGTTCTCATCATTGGCATATGCAGACATCAATAAAAGGATAAGGAAAGCATCATATATCAGAATTAAAATACTTTTTAAATTATTTTTATTATTAAAGTTCATTTTAATTCAGTACACGATGAGTAACATTTGGATTGTCACTCATGGTGTTTATGATCAACATTATTTCACATATTATACTACAACTTGTGCAGTGACAGGAGAAGTTATTTAAATAATAAATAATTTGTACATTAAAACTAATTAGCAGCACATCCACAGATGTGGATAGTGGAATTTTTGTTTGCATTTTAAAATGATATTGACCTTGCATATATAGTATGTGTATACAGTGTGAGTTATTTGGCACATGAGCAGTTTATGCTCCTTATCTAACAACTACTCTAGCTACAGTTGCAACATTTGTTTGTGTGTGAGGTATGACTGTCTGTCAATTAAGTTGTACAACAAAAAAGTTATTTGGCATGCAAGGAATCTCTACATGTAAACTGAACTTAAAATAAGAAATAAAATTGTATGTGCATGGGCCTAAAAGGTGCTGACTACATTATATGGTGAAGTCTGTCATGTGCTGAGTAAAACCTGACTTTATAAAGTGCTGAATAAGCATATGCATTAGTTTGTAAGGTCAGTGAAGGAGATGTTAACACACACCTGCAGACAGCTACCCATGACATCAACTTTAAATTATACATAAAGAGCTGAACTGACAAAGACAATCTCTGAAACCTGTGACAGGAGTGTTTGACTGATTAATCTACAGTGGAGCTGCTCAGTTTGTATAAGACAGAAATAATGAATAAGGTCTGTGGTTAAGATTACTTGAATAAACTTTTGCATTGTTCTACAACATAAATGACAGACAGTCATACCTCACACACACATCTTTGTAATGGAATAATGGAAACTGTTGTGTGCCTCACAAATGTTGTTAGCAAGTTGCTTACATAAGAATCAATATTGTGCAAATTATTGTTTAATTTATGTTGTAGAACTACAGGAAAATACCTTATATTCTGCTTCAGGATATAGTTTTTCTCAATAACTCTTTTTCTTTCTTTAGCCTTGCAGGAGGGCTCATAACGTCCACCATGAAATCACAGGAAATTGTTCTTTATGAGAGCAGATATATTGCAGAAGTTAAACTTAGAAATATAAGCAGACACATGTCAGTGCATGCACTTCGTCTTCATGTAAAATATATTCTGGTCATTAAGTTATTTTCTCAAGTGAGAAAACATTTTTTTCTCTCCAGAACAAATATGGCATGGACATGAAAGCATTTCAGGCCTCTCTGTTGAGTTGACTGATGCTCATGAAGAGTTTTTGCTTGTGATATGGCAGCCCAAGGCTGGCTTTACAATTATTGGGAAAGGATAAAATTTAATAACTGACCTGAGAGGGGTGATTCAGCCTTATTACAAACAAAGAAACTGTATCACATAAAATTCTTACTGCCAAACCCTTTAGGGCACAGAGTTAAAATAAGGATATAAAATATGAATGCATGTGTGCTGCTTTGATTGCCCTCTGAATCTTGCTGGAAAAATTCAGTGGCATACTGTAAAAAAAAAAGCACAACACAGAAAACTGAAAGGAAAACAAACTCGCCCACCACATATAATAACGGTAAATTATTCTCAAGATGAGTCTTACTTATTGGGTTTACTGTGGTAAAAATATGTAAAATACAGCATAACCGATTTGCATTTTCTAGGAAATGCTTTTGCAGCAGCTGTACATTATGATTTAAAGACAAGCCTGAAAGGTTTTTTTTTTCTTTCTTTCTTTGCAAAATCTCTCCTTGAGCAATAAATAGCAAGCAGCTAAATGGCTTAGAGAGGGTCAAGTGATTGAGTGCTTTCAGCATATATTATACTGCGAACACAACAGATATCTGAAGCACACTACTGGAGTAATGAGTGAGCTGTTTAATGTGCTGAAAGAAGCACTGTGCTTTAACTTTCTGCTTATTCACTGAATGCTGAATATAACATTTGTAATTTTTTTCTTTTATAATCAGTATGTTCAAATTACATGTCAATGCTTTATCAAACTTAATGTCAATAATTTTGTTTATCATCAATAACATGAAAACATAGTCCACTGAAAGAATTATCTAATGACATTTACATTACCATTATGCATTTGGCAGATGCTTTTATCCAAACATATGTTGCATATACGAATGTATACATCTTTTGAATTCATGTATTCCCTGGGAATTTAACCCATGGCATTGGCATTACTAGCACCATGTTCTCTTTGACCTATGAGAATGTTATGTTGGGTTGGCTGTCTTTCTATTCTTCATCTATGTCCTTTCTTGGAATTATATCATTCTCTTTATTTTTCCACCAACGGACAGAGGCCAGTGATAAGTGAATAAGGTTTCTAAGAATTAGCTGAGGTTTTACAAAGCATAATGCAATAAAATTCACACATGTATTTGCCACTGACAAATCATGCAGTTTTAATTAGCAATCAAACTTTAAAACAGACCTCAGTAGACATGGGCTGGAATACTGACAGACATTACATTTTCAATCCTCTCTGTGTATTATAAAGGACAATTTGAGTTGGAGACATAAACCTTTGTTTTTGGCTTCATTTAAGATTTTAAATCATTTATGCAATGATGCTGTGCTAATGTCATTACACTGTAAAGAATTATTGTTATTTTAACTGTAAGAGACTGTAAAAATGCTACAGTAAAAATCTTTTAACCGTAAGTTATCTTACTATATATGGTAACAGTAATAAATCTAATGGAACATTTTAGGAATGACACTGCAGGACACTGATGTATTATTTAACTAGATTATTTATTTACATGCTTTTATGTTCAGCGGTATACATCAAATAATTAATATTTCCTTTGTCACAGAACTGAGGACATAATGAACATATCTTAGTGCATTACATCTACAAAATATGATCTTTTTCTTATGCTTATGCTTTTAGTTTTGGTTGAGCGATAATAATGCCTTTGACATGTCTTTGAAAAGTCAACTATTTCCTGAAAGGTTAAATGCCAAACGTCCCATCATTATTCTAGACTCTTTATTAGAAACTCATGTCAAGCACATGCTCCATCACATGACAAAGAAACACAATAACACCAATTCTGGCAACAGCACTTGTTGTGATGCTCTAAAAACATATTTTCTTTTTTTGTTTCCTTTTTTGTTTGTCTATTTTAGGAAAGCACAATCAGATTAATTAATACTTGCATAATACTGACACGGTCATGTGAGGTCAATATGGAGGCCTTCATGAAAGGGTGATCAGCTCCATGTAAAATGAATTGGCTTTTTCTAGAACACCAGTTGCCTATATGTAGGCTATGTACTATTTTCCTAAAGCCCTGTTCAAGTTCAGGAAAGCCTGACTTGTAAAACAAATGTGCAATTTGCAACATTTGGACCTTTAACCCAATGGAGCGTAAGAGACTGACTTACCGTGACTAACCGGCATTAGGACCGAGCGTCAGTTCATCAGGAACAGTAACAGTAGCAGTAGGAGAGAGAGAGAGAGAGAGAGAGAGAGAGAGAGAGAGAGAGAGAGACGCGCTGCAGCATCAGCATCATAATGAATCACAGCAGCTCCGAGGCGCGAGAAGCAGGAGTCGGAAGACGGAATTGGATAGTAACGAAAATACGCTTTAATTGTAATTATTGAGCTTTTTCCCGGGCCAGGAATAAAAGTGGACAGAGATTAGGCTAACAGTACTCAGTACTTTATCTCCAGGATCCTTCCTTAAGGAGCCATGGATTATTTTACTCGACAAACTTTTTTAAAACTTGCTTTTTTCATCTTCACAGGTAAGTGTTTGTAACAAATTCTGACCTGCTGGTTTCTGGCGATGGTAAACATGTTCAAACAAGACGTTGATAGAAATGAATTCATCTTGATGCCATGAGAAACAGAATCGTGAAACCGCTAATTTCTCAGAATATGCTCAGAATATGCTGGCTAAATCTGTGGTGTCATACTAATTAAATAAAGTACCCAAGAGTTAGAGTATATGGGGAAGAAGAACTAATTGTCCTCAGATTTGAGCAGGCTTGGGGAGATTCATCTGTTCTTGGCAACCTTTGTTGAGTTAAAGACAAACTCTCTGTAGTACAAGTTTCTCTTTAAAAATTAAAACGAGCTTTAAATTGAGGACAAATAGCTATTTGCTTTCCAAAATATTTCTTATTATTGTGTGTTATTTGATTTTAATTCATGTTCTACATGTGACTTATAGGAGGCCATTTGAACATTCAGTCTGAAATCAGAACAGATGTTTAGAATGCATTTCATGTGCAGATATAGGCTAGATTACAAAAAATATAGGAAAAGCCCGTGTTAGTTGTCACAATGTTTATTTCACTAAATATGTTTTAAGGGTGTTTATTGCCACAAGCCAGTTTCTGTATGGTCAAGAAAAGAAGATACAGTTAATTAAATATTCTTAATAATTGATTTTGGCTTTGTTTGACTTGGGCTATGTTAACCTTTTTAAACAGCCGTTACAGCAAAATTCAAACTGTGGAACATTTATGAAACAATTCATTTTGGCCAACAAATATTGTAATGAATCAACTTAATATTCAAATCATGTGTTATCTTTCCCGACCTTACGTTTATAAAAAAAATAGAGATCCCATTCAACATAAAATCTACCTTCATTATACAGTTAACTCCTGTCTAAACATATGTCTGTGTGTTTTTATTATATCCATTTATTCAGCCAATACTTTGAAGGACATAATTCACAAAATGACTCTTAATTTAAGAGGGCTTTGCATATGCTAATGTGTCTGTTGGTTTGGGTCTACGAGATGTGATATTTAATCTAATCCTTCTCATTAGTACCTCATCTGTCCTGCTTAGACAAAATTACCTCATCAGCATCACAGATTATCAACTCGTGTTTGTTGTCCATTAGGCAGGAGTATGGCAAGAGTATGCATGATTTATATAATGCGTGTGTTGCTTTTATAAGGTCATTTTTTATGTAATAGCAAACAGACTTCACTTAATTAGCAATCTGGAAAGAGTGGTCCACATGAGCAGTTTCGGTTCATGTTGGTCAGTACGTCATTTCTCTGTAGTGTTCAGCAATCTGGCAATTTAGTATTCAGTACATACATTATCTGTTTAACATATTTATTTATGCATTTGTTTGTTTGTTTATTCATATTTTTGGCACACACCGACAATCAGTTGTATGTAATTCTGCCCTCCTTTGTTGAGCTGCGCTTTTAGCAAAATTTAATGCGCAGATGTCAGTCTGAGGAAAAACTGAAACCTGCTTTCAAGTAACTCAAGGCACGTACAAGTATGTAGGTGAATACTGCCTCTAGCCTTTTATATTCCCTTTCTTTTTCTATAGTGGTATCGCTATTCTCTTTTCAGTTTTCATCTATCTATGTTTTTTTCCAAGCCAAATGAAATACCTTCTGACTCACTCAGGAATGACCTAGAGTACTAACAACTACAGTATGTAATAATACTAAAATGTTCAGCTTGTTTGATGAACATTAAAGAGAGAAAGCAGTTATCTGATATCATGTATTATGAGTCTGTCCTGTCAGCTTACAGTCAGCTTTGAGGGATTTTAACCATCTAGGGATTGTGAATGTCACTGTTTTAGAAAAGAAGTAAGAGTTATGATCCAAATTCAGTCTTGTTCAGATGCATTGTCATTTATTTTACATTTCCTCTGTTGGCAGATTTTCTAACTGCTGAATCAGAAGATAGATTATTATTGTGATAGCAAAGAACCACCCAAAAGACATGTATCATGAAAAAACAGAGTTTCTTTTGTTTTACCCATTTCGCAGTGGATTTATGTGAAATATTTCACATGAAATAATAATGTAATAGTGAAATATCAGGGGGAAAAACTCATTCATATAACAGTGCAGCAGTGTTGGTCTGTGACTGTATAAAAAAGAAACATCCCAAAAATGAATTGGAATGTGTGGAAACTTTATAACCACAATTTCCATCCACCCAAAAGTACTGGTTATTTAATAGGCATAAATAAAGGGAGACAGACTGGTAAAAGCCAAAGCTAGCATAAAGCTAGCCAATCAAATTACAGCTTGCCAGATCAAGCAACATGAAATATGCATTAGGCCGTCTCAAGCGGATACTAGCAGAATGTTGGACTCCACCCCCCACATTTCTGATTACGTATTGACCTAAATGGCAAGGTCGCACCTGAGTTTTACTACATCTGCTCTAACCTGTTACAATCTAGCCTTTAATTAGGTCCACCATTGTATGCTTTGACTATTTTTGGCTTTTGTTCCTTATTTGAAAGTAACTTTGGATAAAAGCATTGGTTGAATGAAAAAAAAAGTACATTTAAATTATATTTAGGTCTTATTTAAGTATCATTTTTGTCTTGTGTTTCTTATAAATTCCATTATAAGAAATAAAAAGGAATAAAAATGAGATAATTGGTGACAGATGAAAATATAGAGCTATAAAAATTTATGTGCTGAGAAATGTTTGAGTTAATATTGAATCTCTGGCTTTTGATTGCAGACAAATCTGAGCACTGAATTAATTAATTAATTAATAATTCTCCCCAAATCCAATTTACTCACCCTCAAGTTGTTCCAAACCCAAAAAGATATTTTGAAGAGTTTGAGTAACCAAAGAGTTGGCGGCAGCCATTGACTTCCATAGTATTTTTTTTCTCTCGAAAAAATCTGAGAGGCAGCATACGTTGACAAAAGTCTCAATTTTTCTTGCTGCTGTTTAGGAAGCTCAACTGAGATGTTTTATGTATTTATTTTTTAGTTTCCTGAGTGAGCTCTCCCTGAATTTGCAATGATGGAGAAAACAGCTCAGCCTTGTCATGTTTTTCATATTAGTTTCTCACATTTTGAATGAGCAATTTCATCATTACTTTTTGTTGTTTGCAATTTGACATATGAGACACCGCTGACACACGAAACCATAGTAACAGTGACGATATAGCCTTAGGTGACATCATTGTGACAGTAATATCATTTGTGAAAAGCTTCAGCATTGTTTTGTCGAATTTATGCTGTAAGTGTACAGTGTTAAATGTCGGCACCATGGTTTCCGAGGAAACTGCATTTTATTATTCCCACACCATGAATTACTGAAATGACAATATGTCGACTTTGACTTAAAGAAGGTTTTAGTTGTGGAAGTGAAGTGGGTGCTTGCATGTATAAGTGGTGCTCAGCATGACTGTGTGTCTGGTGAAATGGACTTCCTTTGCCAAGGTAGCTGCATAATCGTCCAGTAATTACAGGTCTGAATCTCTAAACACAGCTCAAAGTGTTTGCTTTTAGCATCAAACATTAAAGAGGCACAATAAGTGTGTTGTAATGTGCATCACTGCAACGTCACTTGCAAGCAGAGTATTTGTGCTCATAGCCAACATAAACGGTTCACAGTCACAGTAAATTTAAGCTGTCAGAGATCATTATCATCTCTGGCTCATGCCCAAATTGTGCTGATTGTCTGTTTATCTTTTGACCATATGGATAGATAAACAAAAATATGGCCAAATAATACAAATAGATGCCTGAAACTCTTAAAATTTTCATTTTTTGCTTAACCTTCAAAAAATCTGAAGAGGGCCTTTAAAAAAATTGTGGAGGTTACACTAATTTTTATAAAATATAAATGCACATTATATATTTTTATGTTTTATTTTCTATTTATTTTCACAATAACGGAGTATGTAAAATAAATCCTACTAACAAAATGTACATTTATAATACTGAACTTAAATATAGAAACCCTAAGCTGTATGATGTTATTAAATAAAAAGCAAAAAGCTTAACAAAAAGCATTTAAAAAGAATTTTAAATAAAATTATAAAAAAAACATTTAAATATACGTTAATAGAGAAAAAAGCCTGGAAAAGTGATAGAATGGGGATGCAAATTATACCAAAACTAAACCCACTTAGTAGGCTCTAGCTAGTTTAGGACTTTTGCATATACGTTTTCTCTAAATTTAAAAAAAATCTTTGATCATTTCTCTCCATATTTTGATTTACAGGTTTGAATGGTTGAGCTTAGCAAATTCAGTCAGCACTAATGGTAAAAAAAAAATGGAATTGAGACTATTGACACCCTTCATGCTGTATAGTTTTAATGTATTTTACATTTTTTGTAAGGAGAGAAAATCATACAGTAACAATATTGCACAAAAATCACATTTTAATGATTTTTATTTATTCATTTTTGTCATGGGAGAAAATCTGTAGCAAGGTTGCACAAAGGCCCAAATCCCCATCTTAAAGGGGCTTAAAAGTAATTTGATTTGTTTACAACTATTGTCTTTCCATATTATGGTTAATGTTGTCTTGCATTATGGTTTAAACAGTGGTTTAAATGGTTTAGTTCTCACTGGATTTGTGCCTCTAAAAAGGTAACGGGTCACCAAAGTGTACCATGGAAAGTGGCAGATACTTGAAGTACTCCTAAAATTTACACAAGGTCCATCTAACAGTCTCAAGAGGGCCAGCGACACACAATTAGTCTGTAATTATTGTGTTCCCACTGAATGTCTACCACACCTACTACATAATAATGAAACGCTTTGATTCCCGTGGAGCAGCAGTCCAGATGGGCTTGTGTATGTAGACAACTCCTCCCTTTGATGCTGTCAGGAGACTGTTCTGACTTTGTCCTGTTGTTGACATTTGGTTTGTGACATTCAGTGAATCAATATTAAGGTGGTTTTAGACCTGTGGCTTCTTAAGAGCAGCAATTGAATCTGAAATGTTGTTGTTGCATCACTCCTGTTCATGTGTTGAATACATCCTTCACATCAG